TGACCAAAACTAGAATAATTTCATGATTACTTGAGCAACTATTAGCTTCTCAAGAAGCCACGGGTGAGTCAGTTTGTAAGCCTACAAAATTAATCGTCGTATTGGGAATCTGACAGCGTTTGTCTGTCTCTTCAAGACTTCTCTTGAAGACAGCCTCATGGCAGTGTATTATTGTTTGCACCGGGATGAATCCTGTATATAAAAAAAGAATTCTCTGCACCTGAATGTGGCTTTTCCAAGGTGCAAAACAGGCCCAAGTAACTTCGAAAGAAACATACGAAAGCTGCGACAGGATGAAAATTAGATTCTTCGGACAAGAGAAATCAATTCTGTCTGAAATATTTCATGAATTGCTAAGTTACTGCGTCTGATGATGATGATGTTAATAATAATAATAATCTATATAATAAACAAATGTCGTTTGGTTGATGGTTATTTACTGTTAAGAAATTTAGGGTCTTACTGGTTACCACTTATGATTATGTATTTACAACTTCAGATTTTATCTTCATTTTTAACGGGAAATTTATTAGTAATTTAATCAATTGTTCAACAAAATAAAATAATATTTCTTAGGCAATTATTTTGCTCTCCTATTTGCTAAAAATCCTGTACTTGTAAAATTACTGGTCCGATAACCAAACACCGCGGCTGACTTTTTCCGTAGAATGATTTAAAATTTATATATGACCTTAAGATTGCTAGCGACACATTTCTTAAATTACATGTATGAAATACAGGCCTTAAAACAGACTTACTTCTAATAAAATTAGACGACATTTAATAAAGAAGTGACAATAAGAATGATGAGATATGTATAAAAGTAACAACTTTGTACATAACAGAAAATTTGTAATCTTGCAAGCCTTTCTGTTAAAATCATTATTAAATTATAATAAAATTATAGGATAAATGCTTAGACATAAATATTCCCGTAAGAACCATGTTCTCATGAACCCTCAACCCATGCTCTAGCTTAAAAAACCATGTTTCAGACCCATATAAAATAGCGTTATACCTCAGTAGTTCCGCTATCCACTGGTAACTCTGCAAAAAGTGGTGAGCTACTTAAGACACAATCCTACGCATTGCGAAGTTAACAACACAAAATGTGTGTACAAATTACCAGTCATAAATATTAGTTCCGAACACTTGAAGAAAACCACCTGAAGATGACGAATTAAGGCCGAAACATTTAGTGAATTCTTAATAAAATTGGAACTATAATAAAAATTATTGTGTAGACGGACTCTCAACCTAGGAAAGATAAAAGATTTCTAACTGTATAGTAGCAAATGTTCCCCGAATTAATTATCTCTAAATTTTTACAAATATTCATAAGCTTTGAACCCATAAGATATTAATTGTGACTGCCACGCTATGTATTAAATTATAAGAGCAATTTATTAAACGTTATTCCAAATATCCGCGTCTCATATATCACTTCTATTCCTACAAACACTTCTTCAATATATTCCGTAGGGTTGACACCAGATTCCAGTCTGATTCCCCATTATAAGACTGCCGTGTATTCTTATAATGAAATGCGAATATTACACAGCACAAACTCTCAAAAGTGAGAGTTCGTTCACGGCTTCGCGAATGTATTTTGCTCTGTTGACATTTCATATCAGCAAGAAGTACTTAGCGATTGCATTTTATCACCGGTGTCAATAATTTCTGAAGGCAAATCGAAATATTATTTACATAACGCTGTGAGTTATTTACAGGTGAGTATCATTTGTACCAACCTATGAGACCTGAGTAGAGAAATAACCCCATGGAAGAATGGGAGTTAGAAGATGCTAGTCGCTCAGCCAGCTGAATCCAATCCATACCTTCATACACTATCGATTATAAGACCAATGTTAATATTATCCTTCCATCTACGCCAAGGTTTTCCAAGACGTTCCTTCCTTTACGATTTCCCTACTAAAATGTTTAGCGCATTTCTAATTTCCCATACGCGTGCTACATGACACGTTCAACTCATCATCCTTGATTTAAACACCTAGATGATCGAATCATGGAAAGACTATGAATTTTGAAGTTATGCCAATGTCCCAATATTCAGCTTGCACCAAAACAATTCGTCCAAAATTTTTGGCACAGTGCGAATTCGATTATTTTAAAGCACGGCTGTAAGCAGGCCTAACGGTACCACTTCTATAACATTCAGTAAGTGTACATTCTGTCCAAATAGCCTTGTCTATGTGTTTCGTATTATTTCAATGTAAACAGGGGTTATTTCCTTAAACGGCGTTAACCAGTTGACGTTTGCAGTGGTGAAGTGTTGTGTTTTCTTTGCGGTACGGACTAAATGTTCAAATATTCTGGTTCGGCTTCAAAGGAATGATTCTTATCACACAAATTCCCCCAAAACGTAAGCTGAAGACATCTAAACAATAAACACTCAGCCTTAACAACAAGTTGCAATTAAATATAATTTGCATAAATTTAAATAACGAAAGAAATTAATTCCCTTGTTATGTGAATGTCAGTTTCTGTTCAGTTTTATCTTGTTACGTTTATCTCTCCTCACCATCACACTTTAATGTAAAAATAATTTATTACAACTCAGTGTCTTGTGCATACAAATTAGGTCCGGATATTTTGGTTCATCGGTACAGGAAATTTGCGATGGATCAGATAGCAGTACAATAATCAGACTATTAAAATAACAAATATTATATTATTTAAGAAATCATTTCATGTCTCACACTGACTACGTTTATCAGACGCCATAAGCGACTAAGTATTCCTATTATAATTCTTTAATTGCTGAAACTGACGAATAGCACGACAAGAATGTAATACAAATAAGAATTCTTTTCAGTCTTAAAAGTTGTGTTAGTACACAAGTTCATAAACTCGATTATTATAATTATGGAATTGTTAGGTTTACGTTAACAAGGCTTCTCGCTTTAAAGTTATAGCCAAATTTCGAGTTCTAGCAGGAGACAAATATGGCGCCGTCTAGAGGAGAGTGTGATATTGCTGTTCGGAATTCAAGGAATGTCTTATTAAGAAAAGCATTTTTTTCTCTGTCGCATAATTTCTTAGAATATGACAAAAATTCCTATTTTAATGCATATTTTGAACTCAGTTTACGAACATGTTTGTTCCCGACGAAAGATTAAACTTTTATGGAATTTTTTAAAACATATTCGTATTGAAAATAAAGAACGAGTCTATAATGTCATTGCGTGTAAAGAAGGAAGGCAGATCAACAGATATAAACAACGGAAAGAACATTCTCTCCCAGGGCCATTGCTTCCATAACGTCTTTCTTTTATTGGCTAGATCAGCGGAATTAGTCGCGAACTGACTCCACGGAGCAGAGCCCGTCTTGAGACAGTCACGAAGCTATTAAAAAGAATTCCAGTGTTCACAAAAACCAGCCACATGAATCCAATCTACAACCTCCAACACTATTCCCATAAGATTCATTATGACATTATATTCCTTCAGTATTTCTAATCAAAATTTCGTAGTATGTATATTCATTATGTCCCACAAGAGTGTTACATGTATCTTCCTAGATTTGATCAACCTAATAATATTTTGCGAAGAGTACAAACTGTGGAAAGCTTAACTACGCAGTTTTATCCAGTCTCTGTACCTTTATTCATCACAGTCCCAAAATCTCTCCACACCCTTGAAATAAATTTTGGGGTGTGTCGCTGTCTCGAGAGTGGATTATCGGACATATAAGATCACATTAATTAATAAATAAGAGACCAAAACACATAAAAGTGAAAATAAATTCGAGTAAAATATCTTATTTTCTGTAAGGTTGTCTTCAAGGCAAGGTTATTGTGGTACGCCATTCAGAAATAAATATGAATTCAAAGGCTTCAAAATATATGGAATAATGAACAAAAAATGAGACAGAAGAATTTCTCATAACATCCGAAGATATGAGACTTCATACGAGTTTATTGAAATTTCTAGGAAGTTTTCATGTAATTTTGGGTCGGGGGCGGGGGCGGGGTGAGGCTCCAACGTCGAAATTAAAGAACCGTAGTTGTACTTAACGAGTGTATAAAAGTTGAAAGGGTGGGTGGGGAGTGTCATACAGACTTGCTACAAATGTGTTGACTATAAACTCAAATTTCCTTCAGTTTCTCAACAAAAGTGAAGTCAGAAATTTGTGATATGGATTTACAACGTTAACGCAATCACCCAGATCCTACACAGATTCATTTAAAGACGCTTACGTAGATAATTTGGAAATGATGAATTGGAACGAATGCTGAAGGACGCGGTTTATTTTAAGGTACATATCACCGTTTGTAGGGCGAAATCAGGAAAAAATTACGTGGATCATCGTCTAATACTACAAGAAATTCAAGCTCACAATTGAAACCAGGGACCTCTCGATTACAAAACACCGCTATTTAAGGGCTCAAAGAGTAGACACACAGTCCAAAATACTAGACAGTGCATCAATCCAGAAAACCACCATTATTATTAACCATTCGTGGTTTATGTGCTGTAGTCTGAATCGATTTGGAAACAATTCTGATGATTGGCGAAATTTCAGGAGTATGTATCTGAAATACTACGACGTGTATTCTGGAAGAAGTTTACCTTGTTTTAGAGGTTTATGCTGTCTCAATTATCAGGGCGATGACCTCTGAAACGTCGGTAAACTTCTTCCAGACTACAAACATCTGGCGCGCCTCCATGGTGAAGAGAATTATTAGTAGTGTAACGTTGCGTGTTTTAAAGCCGTATCCATGGCAATGCTTTTAAGAGATTTTGGACGTCACGTTCCCATATGTAGCTTAAACGTGTAGTTCCCGTAGATTTTCAACTGTGTAAAGAATTTCTAAAGTAACATTAACGTTGGTTAACATCGACCAGACTACACAGCGCAATAACCCAGAAGACGGATATCTTCATTTTTATACTTCATTTCTGAAGTAACCAAAGTATGACAGGTTAAAAAAGTTTAAAAATTTCTCTGCCCAGAAGATACAAAATACTACACTCACCATTCTGTGAAATTTTCGGGTCCACGGCCTCACACGATCGCTTCCTGCCGGCACAGTACTTGATTCTGTAACGAGAGCACAGACCATAGAAATAAGATAAAATACTGGTGCAGGGTAAACGGAAGGAAAGGGTGGAGCGAAACTGTTGTAAGTATGTAAAAAGGGTAGCGAAGGAGGGGGTTAGCGGTGAATCTGCTGTTGTTAAAAATTTCCTACCGGGGCGCCCTACTTCAGTACCACAGTGGCAGGGTAGCCTATTTCTTCCTTGTATCTGTGAAGGATGCAGCAGCCGCTCTGAATGTATCATTATTATTCAGCGTCATGCCACAAGTAAAGGGTTACTACCCCACGTACTCACCCCTATGGGAAGGGACAGAGAAGGAGGGGTGAAGGTCATGTGATGGTACTGAGATTCTGCTGCAAGCAAGATTCTCATTTCGTTCATGGCATCCAGAACTCGGTCGAGTTGCCAGAACCAAATGTTCGGTGTCTTTTCAAACGCTTTCGTCATTATACATACAAATGGTTCGTGTTTGCGATTGTGATCGCGTAATTAATAACATTTCTGGCTTCCATTCTTCGCCATCAAGGACAGGGCATCTTTACAGCTTCCGGATCGACACAGCTCAGTCGATATATTAACTAGATCACGTACAATACAACAGAGGTTCGATTCCCTGTATTAACTAAACCATGCTTTTGTTCACTGTCCGACATTCCCGTTTAAATTCGTTTTATGCTCTGTACAGATTGATGAAAATGTTATCATATGCACTGGTGGTATCTTTACATTAAAACGTTCCATAGTATGGCTCTTTTTATTGTATAAAATTCTTTGACGTAATGAATAAACAGCCTACATTTCTGTGATCTTTGTTTTTAAATAAGTTGGTTATTAGACGTAATAAATATTACGCGAACATGAGTTAATATCTCTGAAACCCAGCTGTTCTAATAATACGTTTCATCTGTTTCTTAGCTTTAAAATTTTTATTCTAGAGTAAATGTAGCATGTGTAATAAACAAACCAATTCCATGAAAGTTATTATAAGTATCTCTATTCCTTATTAAAAAGTGGTTTATCACAACCTCATACCATTATCAGATAACATATTTTTTAATCTCCAATTTTTTTCTTAATCTTAAAACTCTCTCTTGTGATCCCAACATAGATAATCGATATTATTAATAATGCAAATAAGTTTAAAGTGTTTGCAAAGTAGTTAGCACAGTGGATTTTGTCCTCATAAGTATGGAACATTTTTTTCTTCAAAAATTATAGAAAATATTTTGACGTCCCATAGTCTGAGCTACTGAAAAAAACATCTCTAAATAAACAATAAATAAATAAGTCACAAACACGTCAAAGGAGAACACATACCACCCAAATTTATCTTCTTACGAAAAACTCTACAGAAGAAGTAAGAGACGTTCCTGTCATAGAGAATAACATAGTATGTTTATGTCAGGTAAATTCCCAAAATATTTTTGAGTCTCAAAAAGCATGGGGTTTTATAATTACACCCTTCACAACCACAGCCCTATCACGTACTATTTAAACACATTAAAGCATGGACGTCAATCACTTCTACTCTGTTTCAAAACAAATTAAATTTATTAATTGTTTTAAATCTGATAAGGAACTTTTGGTTTTTATAGATCATCTTTATGGATTGGTCTTATTAGACCGTCCAGGCTATTATGTCTATTTTTAAGACATTATTTTTTCACGTTTGCCTCTCTGTGTGTACTGATATTCCTTTGTTTTTGAATTGGATACTAATTTTAATCCTTGTATTATAAAATAATGTAAAAATACGTGTTCATTATTTCCAATAGTTTATGTCTACGTTCTTCAGCCGAGAAACCTCATCTCGTAATCGCATGTAACGGGCCCAGAACACTCGGAGTTTCTGTTGTACAAGCTGACACCACCCATAGCGTAGCTACACTTTCTGTACGTACACGCATTGACTAAAAATGAATTGCCTTCCGTAGCATAAAAAAAAACTCTTGGTAGTCATTTAGCCCTTTCTTTCGTGAAAGAAAAAATATCCCTGGTGTCGGGTTTTTAGGACATCACCGGGGAGACAGAAAGGGGTAAATAATTTTTTTCCTTTAACGTCCATAGACATTCATATACAAAAAAGACCCACATAAAAAGTAAAGGATTGGCTGTAAGGGATGTAAAGAGAAAGGCTGTAAGGGAAGGGGTTGAAAGATAGAGCAAAAGAAAGGTTGTGTTTCCCGGGGTGTTGCTCTATGCATGTATGATGTATGTAGTAAAAAGAAAAGAGAAAAAATAGGGGTTAAAAATTACTAAGGTTCGAAAGGGTTGTATGTATGGGGATGGGTATAGATGGGTAAAAAAATAAAAAGAAGTATTTGAATAGGGAAAATTGGGGGATGGTCTTCCGTAGGGTGAGAAAACTACAGTGATTGTGTGTCATATGCAAAGTTTTTATGTCATGTTTGCATCATGCATACTTTTTCTACCGAATTTTCGTCTGGGGTGGATTGAGGACACGGTCTGAAGCATTGCATGATGGGTAACGTTCGTTTGAATGCGAATTCTGAATGATGAGAATTTCTTGTATTATCTGACTGGGGCATAGAAACAGGGGATAAACCGTCCGTTGGTTATTGCTCGGTGTTCAACGAAGTTGAAGTTTAAAATTATAAAGAAACCATGTGTATATTATGTATATAGGCCTATATACATGAATGTTTTCTAGTCTGGTAGACGTTTACCGACGTTTCAGAGGTCCTTTCTGCTTCCATCAACAGGCCGACAACCCAAGGCCGTGAGAGCCTATTAAAATATTCCCAGACCTACAAAAAGTATTCAGATCCACATACACAGAAGCAAAACCGATGTTTGGATAAGAATTTCAGTGTTTGTCACAGTTAAATTTGTGTCGGATTTATGCATGAAACCGTAAACCGGTTTATGTCTTACAAATCTGTTTAAAAGCAGGGGTGGTCATAGATCTCTTTATGCATTTTACAAAATCGGTCACTGTCGCCTAGCAATCGGATCAAAGACGAAGATTCCGATAAAACTGGAAAAGAGAAACAATTCGATACAAGATAAAAACGCAGTTCGTTTGCGAATCTGCCACATTCCGATCCAATCATCGCAAAAAAACACTGAGCAGTCCAAAGATGAACTCCTTTTTCAATTTCGTTTTTATCAAAATGAAATGCGACAGGATATCAGAAGGAGATAAAACACTTTCATCTGATGTTACTTTAAATTTGAAACGGTCCAGTGGCAATGAATAAGAATAACATTTCAGTAAATTAAAATTATAAACAAGAAAAGGTTTTGTTGAAGATCGCATCATACCCCTTCTGTTTCTTCAGAATCGTCATTGTGTCTGTATTTTTTGTGTGCGGAGGAACTCTTAACGGTGTGGGAGCCCGTATAGAAAATATTATCTATACGAAAGGATTCGTTATCTAAGATCTGAGTTCAGTGGCGTGTGTACCGTTACCTCACCAGCCTGGAATTGAAAAGACTTAGGCAAGAGGGTCTTGACCTTTTCAGAAGCAGCACTGTTCCGCTGTTCTGGATAAGCAGAGAACAAGACACTGCAAATTGGGACCAAGAACTTTTTTAGTTAGTTCTGAAATGCGTTCACTGACAAACCAGAGCACGGCTGTAACAGGGACATCGATTTCAGCTCCTCTTATCCACAGATAAGCTGATTTTATTGTTTTATATAACAAAACTTCGCTCGTATCGAGAAAAGAATTTGTGGCGCTTATCAATGAGTCGTGTGGTTCCTGCAAGGATCCGGGAAGTGACAGTTGCATTCCGGATTATCAAATGCAGTTACAGATTCTATCGGGCTTTGCTTTTATCTTTGACAGACTCCCTCCTCATGAAAGATGATATTTATTTTAATAAATCCATTATTATTTTTCTTATATTCAGTTCACTGCATGCTCGTTTGTAGAATCAGAGGCGTGTCAGGGTTGATGACTATTTGCGCCAGAACCGAAAATAACATATCACAAAATTCAACCCTTGTTCTTCCTTTAACACGATCGACCGAGTCAAATTTATTCAAAACATAAATATTCTTAAACTCTGTAAAACAATTTTAGTCAGAATTCCCGAAGGAAAGATACAATTTGAGATATTTAAGTGTATATGGGATAATATTAAAACTTATAAATATGGCGCGAGAATGAAGACCAGATTTAAATTCCTCACGATAAGACTCATTGGCGGGCTCTTGTAAACACATTAATGAATCTACAGGTTATAAAAAGAGCGGGTAATTTCTTGACTGACCGCCATGGTGGTCTAGCGGTCAGAACGCTGGCCTTGTAATCCTGGGGTCTCGGGTTCGATTCCCGGCGGTGCCCGAATTTATAACTTGTTGAGCAAGGCCGTGGTCTAGGCAACACGGAGGATTCCTCCGGGGGCTTCCCCGGTTTCTCCGTGGCATCCCAACAATTACTCCATTCACACACAGAAGAAGGCAATGGCAAACCACTTCTGGATCATCTGCCAAGAACGTATATGAACAGGTCCAAGTCCGAGAAAAG